TCAATGTTCGCTCTCGATTGAATAGTCACTACTAATCAAGGTTTCGATTTTTATAAATATTTCAAATGAAATGACTATCGTAGACAAAAGAATTTTAAATAGTAACGTGAATAACTAGGTACATTTTCATTGCAGTATAATATTTTGAGTATATTAGAGAGAGTATCTTATTTGATATAAAATTTTTAGATTTCTGGTAACTTTAGTGAACACTTTACTTTTATGTTCATGTATCATGATGCATGTATCTTTTTGTAAAATTAATCTTATTGTACAGAAAACAATGTTTGCGTAGCAAAAAGTAATGATTTTTATTATATTACTATTATATATATAAAAACATAGATTTACAAATTTGCTAGATTTATCATGTCTCAATTTTTCTCTATGTAATTGAATGTATTATAGAATATTTGAATCGATGAATGAAATACTGCTGTAACAGAATTCGTACGTTTGCAATAAATTTAACATAGGTTTTGTGCAGGGAAAAGTGATGGCATCAATTTTCTACGAGGTTAGTACGAGAACCTCTTGCAGCTTTGCGTCTGCGATGGAACGACTCGGAGGTCGAGTGATATACATGGATGGTACAACGTCGTCTGTGAAGAAGGGAGAAAGCTTGGAAGGTTTGCAGTCTTACATGATCAGAAATGAAATTTTGACTTTACGTTGTAACATAAGTTTGACACAGAATTTTGTTACAGATTCGGTAACAGTAATGGCTGGTTATGCGGATGTGGTTGTTCTTCGACATCCTGAACCTGGCGCTGTTGCGGTGAGTTGATCGTCAATTTCAACTAATCTTATATTCTCTTTAAGTCTATTCTTTCGAATATTTTGATACTTAAACGTTATGTTTGCACAAAATGTCTGCTAAAATAGTACTCCAAAAATCGCAAAGAACAATACAAGAAACATTTGAGATAGAAAAATATTTTTTATTTGATATCTTTTTTTTTCTAGAAAATCAAGTTTAAGAACCTTTTCATTTTTCGTTTCCAAAAAATGTTCAATTATGGAATTTGAAAATTTATGAAGTATACGTGTACCAATAGAAATAACAATTATTGCATTTTACAGGTAATTTGTTAATTAAAATGGCAATCAGTTGTTGTTGCAGATTTGAAATTAAAGTGAACATCTATAATTTACAAATAATCCTTTTCTCCTATAAGTAAACGAAATTCTTGGAAATATTAAAATATTCGATTAATAAAAGACATATATACTAAATAATAAACACATATGTTATTGTAATAAGCGCATGTATTTATCATTATACATCATTATATTCAGAGAGTTGCACAACAGTGCAGAAAACCTTTTGTGAACGCCGGCGACGGTATAGGAGAACATCCAACTCAGGCCTTGCTCGATATTTTCACCATAAGAGACGAGATCGGTACGGTAAACGGGTTAACGATCACTATGGTCGGCGATTTGAAACATGGTCGAACAGTGCATTCGCTCTCAAGGTGAGAAATCACACGTACTATATTTTATGACTAATTCATTTATGTTGCAAATATCCTTCAAACGATATCCATCCGCCTCGTGTTACAGATTATTGACATTGTACAATGTCGAACTTCGTTACGTGTGCCCTCCTGGCCTTAATATGCCTGAACATGTGGTGAAGTACGTGTGCGAACGCGGAATATCTCAGGAACAATTCAGCACCCTGGAGGACGCTCTCCCTGATACGGACGTTCTTTACATGACACGTATTCAGAGAGAACGTTTCGCTACACAAGAGGAGTATAATAAGGTAAGCGTTTCGTTTATGAAACTGTGGATGCA